TCATCTTGCACATTCCTGTGACCTTGACCTCCCTCCTCTTTAATATGTATTTTGCTTAGTTTTTAAGAAATAATTTAAACATTTTATGTTTAACATGCACTTATACCTAATTTATGAGAAATTTTTTATCTATATCCAATTTATTTATATTTTATTTTCAATTCTGAAAAAAAAAAACTGTTTAAGATATTTTCATCAAACTTTATACACAAATACAAATTTTAGTTTTTAGTTTTTAGCTCACCTGAGCTGAAGGCTAAGTGAGCTTTTCTGATCATATTTTTCCGGGGTCCGGGTTTTCTAGCTGTCTGTAAACTTTTCACATTTTCGACTTCTTCTCAAGAACCACTGGGCCATTTCAACCAAACTTGCCACAAAGCATCCTTGGGTGAAGGGGATTCAAGTTTTTTCAAATGAAGGGCCATGCCCTATTCAAGGGGAGATAATTGGGAATTAATAAAATTTGGTGGCATGTTTTAAAAATCTTTTCTCAAGAACCACTATGCCAGGAAAGATGAAACTTATGGGTTAACATCCTCAGGTAGTGAATATTCAAATGTGTTCAAAACATGACCCCCGGGTTAAGGGCAGGGCCAAAATGGGGACTAAAGTTTTATATAGAAATATATTGAAAAATTCTTTAAAAATCTTCTTCTCAAGAACCACTGTGCCAGGAAAGATGAAACTTATGGAGTAACATCCTCAGATAGTGTAGATTCAAGTTTGTTCAAATCATACCCCCGGGGGTAGGGCAGGGCCAAAATGGCTATCAAAGTTTTACATAGAAATATATAGGAAAATTCTTTAAAAATCTTCTTCTCAAGAATGACAAAGCCATAATTCATCAAATTTATATGGAAGCATCCTCAGGTAGTGAAGATTCAAGTTTGTTCAAATCATGACCCTGGGGGTAGGGCGGGGCCAAAAAGGCCGACCAAAGTTTTACATAGAAATTTATGGGAAAATTCTTTAAAAATCTTCTTCTCAAGAATGACAAATCCATAATTCATCATATTTATATGGAAGCATCTTCAGGTAGTGTAGATTCAAAAATTTGTACAAATCATGACCCCAGGGGGTAGGGTGGGGCCAAAATGGCCGACCAAAGTTTTACATAGAAATATATGGAAAATTCTTTGAAGAAAAGCAAATCCATGATTGATCATGGGATTTCTTTTGGGTTTTAACTTTTCAATTATAAACCAATTTCTACTTTTTCTTAGCTTCAGTACTCAGGTGAGCGATGTGGCCCATGGGCCTCTTGTTTAATGTACCATTAGTAATACACATCTGGCCGGACAATCATGTCCTATAGACATATTTCTTGTTTTTCAAATCATCACCTCAGGCTAGGGTCAGGCCACAATTGGGTCAAAGTTTTTTTTAGGAATAAAAGGAAACACATCTTTTAAAATTCTTCTTTTCAGGAACACCAAGAGCATGATTAATATGGAAATATTCTCAAGAGGTGTAGATTCAAGTTTGTACAAATCATGACCACCAGGGTTAGGGAGGTGCCATATTATTCCAGCCTCTTTTGCCATCCATATGAAAATTCAAATTTTGAAACCATTTTACACATACACAAAACAAACCAATCATTTTCTAAATGATCATGGTTTAAAGCTATTGCAGCATAAGATATTAGGGAAGTTCTTGAAAGCAGGGTGATTAAACATGTCAAATATATGTAAAAAAAAATTATATAAAAATTCTCCTCGATTTGATCCCCATCCCCCCACCCCCCGGGCAAAATGAAAATTCCCAAACCTTACTGCACATCAACATGACACCACCAAGCATCCCCCAAAAGGTGATATGGCTGCTGAGTAAAATGTAGAAGGATTTCAGGGAAGAAGGGGCTTTTTGTATAAAAAAACGTCGTTTTTCGACCCCCATTTGATCCCCAGGGGCAAATTCAAAATTCCGAAACCTTACTGCACATCTACATGACACCACCAACCATCTCTCAAAAGATGATTAGGCTGCTGAGTAAAATATAGAAGGAGTTCAGAGAAGAAGGGGCTTTTTGTATAAAAAACGTCATTTTTCGACCCCCCTTTTATCCCCTGGGGCAAAATCAAAATTCCGAAACCTTACTGCACATCTATATGACACCACCAACCATCTCTCAAAAGGATTAGGCTGCTGAGTAAAATGTAGAAGGAGTTCAGGGAAGAAGGGGCTTTTTGTATAAAAAACATCATTTTTCGACCCCCATTTGATCCCCCGGGGCAACATCAAAATTCCGAAACCTTACTGCACATCTACATGACACCACCAACCATCTCTCAAAAGAGATTAGGCTGCTGAGTAAAATGTAGAAGGAGTTCAGGGAAGAAGGGGGTTTTTGTATAAAAAATGTCTTTTTTCGACCCCCATTTGATCCCCCGGGGCAAAATCAAAATTCCGAAACCTTACTGCACATCTACATGACACCACCAACCATCTCTCAAAAGATGATTAGGCTGCTGAGTAAAATGTGAAGGAGTTGGGAAGAAGGGGCTTTTTGTATAAAAAACGTCATTTTTCACCCCCCTTTGATCCCCCGGGGCAAAACAAAATTCCGAAATCTTACTGCACATCTACATGACACCACCAACCATCTCTCAAAAGATGATTAGGCTGCTGAGTAAAATGTAGAAGGAGTTCAGGGAAGAAGGGGCTTTTTGTATAAAAAACGTCATTTTTTGACCCCCATTTGATCCCCCCGGGGGAAAATCAAAATTCCGAAACCTTACTGCACATTAATGACACCCCCAACCATATCCCAAAGGATGATTAAGCTACTGTGAAAAATGTAGGAGGAGTTCAGGGGAAAAAGGGGCTTTTTGTATAAAAACGTATTTTTGACCCCCCCTTTTATCCCCGGGGCAAAACCGCCTTTCTGCACATCTACATGACACCCCCAACCATCTCCCAAAGGATGATTAGCTATTAAAAAAATTTGGAGGAGTTAGGGAAGAAAAGTGTGACGCGGGCGGCGACAAAAGACACGGAGGACGGACATGATAACAACAATATACCCGAACTTTCTTTCGAAAGTGCGGGTATAAAGATTAACACAATATAAAGCTATTTTTAAACACATAAGAAAGAGTTGACTTAACTTTATAATATATCCACATCACGGTATGGAGTTATTTGTTTAATTGTTTAACGTTTATTGAACTGACATACCCCATGTTGGAGGCTAAGTGAAATAAGAAGTCTCAATATGCGTAAAAATATCCACAGATATGTAAACATTGAAAGAATCAATACCTTATTTAGCCCATGGATATATAGAAATAATCAATTTTAAGAATTCAATGTATCAGTTATATTTTACAAGCTTTATTTTCTTTATGTATTTAAATGCATGAAATGTCTACCTTAAAAGTGTACAGGGGTGTACTTATGAATAATTAGATTGAGATAGATTTCAATAAATGCTAAGAAACATAATTATTTTAAAAAAATAATAAAATTTCAGATCATTATTTTTAGCTAGAATTCATTCACATAACATCTCTGCACGCATCAACACGCCTAGCTTATACTACACTGCCCATTATTTACAGAAGTGAATATAATATGGGCGGCCCACCAAACCCACCACAGCTCCGAGGACTATAACTTCACCACCGCTCTCCGTCAGTCCTGTATACTCCGCTACATATCGTGGGTAAGGCTTTCTTGTAAGGCTCAGGTAGACTTATGTATGAGAATCAAAATTCTCTAAAGGTTCAGTGTAAGTGTGCGAAACATGCACCCGCACCTGTAGAAACATATTAAGCTTTTAGATTTTGCTCATATTACATAGTACATATTTCATAACGCAATTTGTAATATCCTGCATAAGAGATAGGAATTTGTTTTATAGAATTGAATTAGATTGAAGTTTTTTAACAATATCAGTCATAGTTCCTTATTTTAAATGGTTGATCTTGTTTTGAAATCATTATGAGTAATGTACATGTATACAAATGTTTATGATTGTTACAATGTATCGTGGCATAGAATGACAAATGCTTGGTAATGATACTGATTACAGATATATTTAATATTCTGAAGGTGCCAAAAACTGAAGTATGCGTCGATTAAGATTATTATAAGACTATAAATTGATGTAAAGTCATGATTACAAATGTTCTAGCTTCCCTTAGCCTTGGTCATGTCATCCTCTGATATCTTGCTATAGATTGACGTATAGTTCTGATTACAGATGTTCTACCTTCCCTTAGCCTTGGTCATGTCTTCCTTAAGATTGACATATAGTTATGATTACAGATGTTCTGCCTTCCCTTAGCCTTGGTCATGCCACCCTCTGATATCTTGTTATAGATTGAAGTATAGTTATGATTACATATATTGTAGCTTCCCTTAGTCTTGGTCATGTCACCCTTAAGATTGAAGTATAGTTTTGATTACAGATGTTCTATCTTCCCTTAGCCTTGGTCATGCCACCCTCTGATATCTTGATATAGATTGGTGTATAGTTATGATTACAGATGTTCTAGCTTCCCTTAGCCCTGGTCATTCCACCATCTGATATCTTGCTATAGATTGACGTATGGTTATGATTACAGATGTTCTACCTTCCCTTAGCCTTGGTCATGTCTTCCTTAAGATTGACGTATAGTTATGATTACAGATGTTCTGCCTTCCCTTAGCCTTGGTCATGCCACCCTCTGATATCTTGCCATAGATTGACGTATAGTTATGACTTCAGATGCTCTAACTTCCCTTAGCTTTGGTCATGTCACCCTCTGATATCTTGCTATAGATTGAAGTATAGTTATGATTACAGATGTTCTAGCTTCGCTTTGACTTGGTCATGTCACCCTTAAGATTGACGTATAGTTATAATTACAGATGTTCTAACTTCCCTTAGCCTTGGTCATGTCACCCTTAAGATTGAAGTATAGTTATGATTACAGATATTCTACCTTCCCTTAGCCCTAGTCATGCCACCCTCTATTATCTTGCTATAGATTGACGTATAGTTATGATTACAGATGTTCTACCTCCCCTTAGCCCTAGTCATGCCACCCTCTGTATTCCTGGTTCACTCCCAGTTTAACTTGCTGTACCAGTTCTGGATACACACAGAGGTAAGGAATTTTTTTTAACTTTACTTATATTTTTTTTCCTTTCAGGAACAGTTGGTCGACGATAATTAAATTTTAAAATGTGGCTCTTTCAGAACTAAATTTAACCAATCTTTCTTTTTTAAATATTATGGAAACAAAATGCTATATACATTATCATCTGGAATGTTTGTATGCGTAAGACTACGAGGACTAAGCTGATTTAAAGCTTTGATTAATTTCCCAAAATCTCCCTTTATAAGTGATAGAATCAATCATCATTAATTCTTTAATCACCATTGACTGATGAAAAATTGATAAGGTTTAGTTTCCTATTCTTTATACAATGAAATATCAAATAATTATTAATTTTTTTCTTAAATGTCTTTCTAACAACTACTTTTACTAAACGATTGGTCGCTCTGTGATGCAGCGTCTGCTCTGGAGTCGCAGATTAAAGGGTTGATCCTTACATTGCGGGTTCGAATCCCACTTTGGGACGTGGAGTCCGGTCCTTCGGATGAGATTTTATAAACTGTGGTCCCATGTCGCAGAAGGTGCTGGCACCAAAAAGATCCCTCACTGCTCATTTGCCCTGAGTACCGAATATAGGTAAAAATTTGAAGCTCTCCACAGACAAGTGGTGGCGCGGCGTCTCCATATGAATGAAGAGGGGAAGCGAAACAACAAATAAACAACGAAAACGAAACGACTGTAAACCTGACATCATCTGACATTAAAACAATCACCAAACGTAAATTTCAATCATCACTGATAACTAAAATCATCATAAAAATTTAAAACTGATATCAGTAATCATTGAAAAAATGACTATTGATAACTGTAATAACTGATTACAATGATCACTCATAACAATAATCATGGATAAATATCATAATTGAAACAAAAATCATTGTTCTCATTGATCATTGATTACAATTATCGTTAATAACAATGACCATTGATAAATATAATCAAATAAAATACTAAATGTTAATATGAATATTCATTGATGATAATTACAATCGACAACTTTTATCAGTGATAAAAATAACCATTAAAAACATTTGTCATTAATAACAAATAACAGGGATTACACAATAGTCATTGATAATTATCAATACTGATAATAATAACCATTGATAACAATTATATTTTACATTTATATAACTGAGAACAGTTTCTATTGATAATAATGGCCTTTGGTACAAATAATTATTGATAGAAAAAACAATGAATAAATACTATGATTTATAACCATAAACATTCATAACAGTAAGCTTTGAGCAATTTAATTATTGATAACATTAATCATTGATGAATATAATTATTGACAATAAGAATACAATATTCATTCAAAGAAAATATTGATAACAACAAAAATCAATAATAATAATTGATAAATATAATTATTGAAAAAGTTATAAATCGGAAACAATAATCATTGATTTAATAATAATCACTAATAAATATAATCATAGCTGACAATACACATTAATATGAAAAATATCAATTATAATGATACTTTCATTAAAAATATCAAAAATGTAATGTATCATCCAATGTAAAATCGATCACAAAATTAACTAATTCATTAATCGATTTTCCACATTAATTAAAGCTTCGATCAGAAATCAAATAATCAAAACCTTATCATTAAATATATCTTTAACTATAATAATCATTTTGAACATGTACTATTAATAACAATTTATTTTTGTGTTACTTACATGTTAAAATCTCTTATTTATAGAGTATACAGTGTTTAAAGCTACAGAGAAGGTGGAATATCTCTTGATACCGACAGTTAATGAATTCTTATATAATGGTAATCAATTTCAGACAGTGGACAGTCTTGGGCCGCTGGAGTGGATTCTCAACACGCCGAGCCATCATAGGGTTCACCATGGGAGAAATCGATACTGTATCGATAAAAACTACGGCGGCACTCTCATCATATTTGATCGAATATTTGGTAAGATTCCGATCAGTATTTAAACTAGAAAGTGTATTTGTAGAATAGAAAACGTATATTATCAGTACATATACATTAAACAACAAACAAACAAACATCTACATAATTATATACTCCAAAATGGTATTTAAAAATGTTCAACAGAATGTAACAATAGTTTTAATGGACTGGTTGTAGGACTAAATAATATTTCAAATATTGATGCAAAATTCACATAGAATTTATTTATTCTAGTGTTAATAAAAATGAGGTGCATTTGATCTGTAATTGATTGCAAATACTTTCATTAAGATATTTGAATAAGGTTAAATTTGAATTTATTGAATAGGCAAGTGAAACCTCCAGGTATGTACTTTAGTGCTCTTGAGTACCATTGAATTTCAACAGAACAAAAATTGCTGAATGAATTAAAACAGCAATGCCATTATATGCTCAATTTTATTTCTAGATTACAAAGCCAAAATCGATGGTATTATCATTTTCAGGGTGAATAGAAACAAAGTGTTATTGCCTAGAATTGAGGGAAAACGGTTTAAAATTCTTGACGCAAACATAACGCTCAGTCGTTAAGATTTCAATAGGATAACCCGGGCATTGTGATTCCTATCGTATAATTCTAGTGTTTACAACTAAGTTGATCACGAGATAGCTCGACCAAAAACGTTTTATCAGTCTGTTTTACTCTCTTAAATAGAATATATATTTGCTGAAATATGGATTATATCATTAAGCCAAACGTAAATTAATTTGCGTGTGCAGAAAATATCTACTGTTAGGTACACTTCAACCCATATCATTTGCATCTTGCAGGGGTCTTGGATGGAGTCTGTAATATTCAATAATTTGAATCAAAACAATTATCTTTCTATTCAGGAACATTTGCAAAAGAGCAGGAAGAAGTCGTATATGGACTAGTCCACCCTCTTACGTCATGGGACCCCATTAATGCGCAGGTAGGGACCCCAGTATGCATCAGACAGACATATCTCTCGATAAAGATGGATAAGGTTCCACTGCCTACAATTAAATCTACTTTGGCACAATAATTGGAAAAAATAATCTGCGAAAAACGGCTTATCTTTCATTGCAGATATTGGGGTAAATCAACTGACGAGAAATGTATAGTTGTTGTTGTTGTTGTTTGTTTGTTAGTTTTTTTTTTTTTTTTTTTTTTTTTTTTTGTAAAATTGTTTGTTATCAGTTTGATTATGTGATTTGAGGGTTATTTTCAACGATGATAAACGAAAAAACCCAAATGGATGACACGTACCATTGATTAAAAAAGAATACACTGCACACACACGAAAACTTTTTCAGGCTTGCTTTAGATGCAGGATTTAGTCTTGCATTTTCTGCACGAGTGACCAAGTTCAAGATTTTCGATTTTAGTTTAATATGTTAAGTCCATCACAGATCAAATTTGTATTGATGACAAATCTGGCCACGCAAGCTTCCACATTTACTTCGTGCGTTGGATCTCACGCTGCCTAGATGAGTGACCATTTTTAGTACGTGTAACTAACAGCCAAAAATTGTATGTATGATGCAACAATGGATGCACACTAATGAACAGATTTGCCTTGTTGCTTGTTCACACCTGCTTTTTCCGGATGAGTGATGAATTTAGACACCCCCCCCCTTTTTTTTTTTTTTTTAAAAAAAAGGGGATTTCCCAAGAAGCTGTATGTTTAAATTGGGGTGTCACATCTTGATGTGCAAACTGCCTCATTATCAAATAAGTATGGACGTTTGTCATCTTTAAAAATTAAACATTCGTTAGATGAGCTCTGTAATCTTTGATTACTTGTATCTTTATATATACGGAAACGCAAAAGAAACACAAAGCTGAAGATGTCCTAACTTTTTAATTTCAAAGTTATAAACTGTATATAATTTTCCTCTAAAATTAGGGTGTTGCGTTTCTTTTTTGTTTCAGTATATTTCAATACCGTGTCTTTTGTGGATTAGTAGATCTCTCTTTGTATACAGTGTAGATGAAAGGTAAAATAAGCATTTATATTAAAATATACACTGAATTGACGGATTTCCCCGCTATTTTCCGATCATGACAAGGAGCACACAGCGGGTGTGACCGGTCGGCAGGGGATGCACCCTCCTCCATGGCACATGATCCCAACTCTGACGTTTTGGAGGTCCATGTTTGCTCGACTCCTATTTTTGTATTGTTTTATGGATTTTTGATCTTGAATACTGTTTATCTCCATTTGTTTCATTTGCAAAATACACGCTTTTAGACTTTATATTAACAAACTATTCACAGTTATCAATCTAAGGATATATTACAAGTCTGAAATCACTGTGTCTATACTTCTGATTTTAAGTTTTGATATTAAAACATTCAGTCGAGATGATTGTATTTTGTAACACATGTTTACATCTCATTCTTATTTGGGACTTTTTGAAGAATGAAGTCAAAATAGTATTTTTTTTTAATTCAGATCTGTCATCTTAAATATATGTGGAGTGTATTCAAAGAAACAGAGGGTTTTGCAAACAAGCTGGCAGTAATTTGGAAAGGACCTGGTTGGGCCCCGGGCAAACCTCGAACAGGCCTAATCGAAGATATACCAGATGCAAGTTGTACTTATTTTTACACTCAATATATGCTTCTTTATAGATGAATAAAAGGTAGTTTCTTCGATTAGGTATTTCAATTTGTAATATCCACGATGTATTTTCTATTCATTGCAATTGCTCAATTTTTACATGGTAACTTTATGACGAAATTGATTAAGATAGGAATAGTTGACTTGATATAAACCACATTCTATCAAGAGAATTTGGGAGTGTTCACATGCTATACACTGTAAGCGAACCATGATCTTTCGGGTTTATCAATAAACCTTTTTCGAATCCCTCGGGCAGTTTTCGTGAGGAGTAATGGCCAATTTAATATTTTTGCTTTTGATATTTTATATTACGTCCTGGCAAATTCAAATCAATGCAACAAATATGATTAACAAGAATAAAATCATCGGAAATAAACCCGAGACCGTTTCATTTCGTCTGGAATTCTTTCTTCATTCATTTCCACTTTGATGTAAAGAAAATGTATACTACATTGTATGAAATGCAAACAAATATGTTTAAATATTTATATTATATATATCATTGCCATTTCATTTGTATATGTGATCAAGACACATGCAGTTTAGTTTTATTGACTACTAGTATTGATAAAAATTCTCTAGTCTAGACAAAAAAAAATCTTCATCTATAAGGATTTTTCTGTTTACCAATACCGGTACTCAAAATGAGAATGATGTCAGAGACCATTTTAGCATTAAGTTTTTTTCCCAAATTTTACAACAAGAAAGTTATTCATTATTTCACTTATGATATTGTCATTGTTACTAGAAAAGGAAAAGTCTTTGAAATTCTCATTAAACAAATATGGAATGATTCCAATTTAAAATAATCAGGAAAAACATGCAGCAAAATATATTTCGTAATGATTTTTTTTCTTCGGATTTTTATTTTCTTTGCAGGTGTTTTTATCGTAACTGTTGATCAAATATGACAAACTAGATGACTTCAGCTTTTCCATCGTTAACTTTCTTTGTTTATGATGAATGTAAAATTCCGTTATCAAATCTTCAATGTTAAATGTATAACGAATTGAAAAATAATGCTCTAGCACTTCATTATTATACCCCCCCGGAAACGAAGTTTGGGGGGGGGTATATAGGAATCACCTTGTCCGTCTGTCTGTCTGTCTAGCTGTCTGTCTGTCCGTCTGTTCGTCTGTCCGTCTGTCTGTGCAATCGTGTCCGGTCCATATCTTTCTTACAGAGGGACATTAGAATCTACTACTCCACATTAAGATTGCTCATAACCTAAGGGTGTGTCATGACCTTGACCCAAGGTCATTTGGGGAAGTTCACTGGAAGAAAAATTTCATAATTCGTGTCCGGTCCATATCTTTCTTATGGATAAACTTGGTAGGTTCTCATTTCACACAAAGATTGCCCATGACCCAAGGGTGTGTCATGACCTTGACCCAAGGTCATTTGGGGAAGTTCAAGGTCACTGGGAGAAAAATTTCAAAATTCATGTTTGACACATATCTTTTATGGATAAGCTTGGTAGGTTCTCATTTCACACAAAGATTGCCCATGACCCAAGGGTGTGTCATGACCTTGACCCAAGGTCATTTGGGGAAGTTCAAGGTCACTGGAAGAAAAATTTCATTATTCGTGTCCGGTCTATATCTTTCTTTTGGATAAATTTGGTAGGCTTTCATTTCACATAAAGATTGCCCATGACCCAAGGGTGTGTCATGACCTTGACCCAAGGTCATTTTGGGAAGTTCAAGGTCACTGGTAGAAAAATTTAATAATTCGTGTCCGGTCCATATCTTTCTTAAGGATAAACTTGGTAGGTTTTCATTTCATATAAAGATTACCCATGACCCAAGGGTGTGTCATGATCTTGACCCAAGGTCATGTGGGGAAGTTCAAGGTCACTGGAAGAAAAATTTAATAATTCGTGTCCGGTCCATATCTTTCTTATTGATAAACTTGGTAGGTTCTTATTTCACTCAAAGATTCCCATGACCCAAAGGGGGTGTCATGACCTTGACCCAAGGTCATTTGGGGAAGTTAAGGTCACTGGAAGAAAAATTTTTTAAATT